AGATTTTATTCCATATGTATCAGAAATATATCTCTCTAATCTTTGGTCAATATATCCATCCTCAAAATTATTTACATAACAGAATTCAACTTAGAAATTTTATTTTTTCCTCTAATCAGTAATCGCCATGCAGTAATTCTACTTCACAACCCTTATAAGAAGCAAACCTAAGGTTGCTTCTCACAAGAGACACTGATATATTCACATTTTCCTTGATATTATTCTTCCAAATGGAACTTCCCACAAAAAGTTTTAGCTTTCACACTTTCTTAGCTATCCGTGCTGTCATTCTTGTGTTGCAACTCTTGCTTTCCTTTTCTTTACTGCACGCTGCCGCTGCAGCACTTAGTAATGAGACTGATAAGCTTGCCTTAATTGGCTTCAAGTCCCAAATAACTGAAGATCCATCCGGAGTTGTGGCCTCGTGGAATGAATCTGTCGACTTCTGTCAGTGGGCTGGAGTAAGATGTAGCCTTAGACATGAAAGAGTCATCAGTTTGAATCTCCAGGGTCAGAGATTGGCAGGTACAATCTCACCTCATCTTGGAAACCTTTCTTTCCTCAATTCTCTTGACCTTTCAGAAAATTCGTTACACGGTCAAATTCCTCAAGAACTCAGCAGGTTATTTAGGATTCAAAAGTTGAATCTGAGTTTCAACTTACTAGGAGGGGGAATTCCAGTTAATATTTCACATTGTGTTAACCTCAAGAGCCTTGTCTTAGAACGCAACTATCTTGTAGGACAGATTCCTTCTAATGTTGGATCACTTATAAAGCTAGTGCAACTTTATCTCAGAAATAACAATCTAACAGGAACAATTCCTGCTTCTATTGGAAATCTAACATCTTTACAACAGCTGCACTTATCATATAACAATTTAGTAGGACAAGTACCTGATTCAGTTGCTCGACTGACCAAATTAAGAGAGATTGGAGTAGCAGTAAATAGACTATCAGGGAAATTTCCTGCTTCATTGTATAATTTGTCCTTTCTTGAATTAATATCAATTTCTTACAACAACTTTGGTGGTAATCTCAGATCCGATATAGGCAACTTATTCCCTAATCTTCAGATACTTCATTTAGCGCAGAATCACTTCACTGGTTCCATTCCATCCTCTTTAGCCAATGCTACAAAACTGCTGCAGCTTGATATTCCTCAAAATAATTTCACTGGAACCGTACCATCAAGTATTAGTAACCTACGAAATCTGCTGTGGCTCAATGTTTTTGGTAACTCTCTTGGAAATGGTGCACCTGATGACCTCAACTTCATAGATCATCTAACTAATTGCAGCAACCTTCAATTCCTACATATCGGACTAAATCAGTTTGGAGGTATTCTTCCCAACTCCATAGTGAACCTATCCAGCCATTTGACAAGGCTAATTATAACGGGAAATCAGATCCGAGGAACCATACCTAAAGACATCTCAAACTTGGTGAGCTTGGATTTACTCTACTTGGGTTACAACCGTCTAACGGGCAGCATTCCGGATTCTGTTGGCAACCTACCAAACTTGGGAAATCTCGGTTTGGATTCAAATTCTTTGACAGGGGTAATTCCTCCTCCTATAGGCAACCTTACTAAACTTTTATATCTTTATTTGTCATATAACAAGCTAGAAGGAACCATACCTCCAACTCTAGGAAACTGTAAGCAGTTGCAATATATCCTGCTTTACAAAAACAATCTGAGTGGAGCTATACCCCAGCAACTCGCGATTCTTTCATCTCTCATACTAGTTAACGTGTCTTATAACTCCTTTACTGGTCACCTCCTAACCGATATAGGAAATTGGAGCCGTCTTATTTCTCTTGATCTTTCTCATAACAACTTTTCCGGTATAATTCCACCGTCCCTCGGAAACTGCTTGGATTTGCTGGAAAAATCCAAATGCAGAAAAACTCCCTCCAAGGAACCATTCCTAATTTAGGCGGCTTGAAGAATCTACAGTTGTTAGATCTTTCCTTGAACAACCTATCCGGGTCCATTCCTCATTCCATGGGAACTCTTAGTTCCTTAATCTACTTGAACCTGTCATTTAACAATCTAGAGGGTAATGTTCCTGTTACTGGACCATTTTCCAACTTAAGTGCTGTGGTATTAGTTGGGAACCGCAAGCTTTGTGGAGGGATTCAAGAACTGAATTTACCACCATGTGCTGTTCAAGAACCCCAGAGAACACGAAAGAAGCATGTACTTGCCCTCAAGTTTATTTTGGTCATTGTATTTGTTGCTTCGTTCTCAATCCTGCTGCTGGTTATTGTGTTCCATTATCGGAGAAGAAGTTCGAAAGATCAAATAGATGATAGACCTACATCTGGAAACTTCACCAAAATTTCTTATCAACAGCTCCTCAAAGCAACTGGTGGATTTTCTTCTGAAAATTTAATTGGCTCTGGAGGTTTCGGGACTGTTTACAAGGGAACTCTAGGCCCTAACGGAATGGTTGTTGCTGTCAAGGTACTCAATCTCCAGCAGGAAGGAGCTTCGAAAAGCTTCATAGCAGAATGCCAAGCATTGAGAAACATTAGGCACCGGAACCTTGTCAAGGTCATCATAGCATGCTCAAGTACTGATTTCAAAGGAAATGAGTTTAAAGCTTTGGTATATCAGTACATGCCAAATGGGAGCTTGGAGGAGTGGTTACATCCAGAAGTGGAGACACCAAAGGATAGCTTGACCATTCTTCAAAGAATAAATATCGTAACTGACATGGCTTCTGCCCTTCACTATCTTCATCATCAGTGCCAAACTTCGATAGGTCATTGTGATATAAAGCCATCAAATGTTCTTCTTGATGAAGATCTCAAAGCTCATCTTGGCGATTTCGGTTTGGTGAGACTCCTTCCTGGATTTGATACTGAAGCTAATCTTAATCAGTTTAGCTCACTTGGAGTAAAAGGAACCATTGGCTATGCAGCTCCAGGTATATATGTCTAGCAATTAGCAAAACAAAGCTACGTAAATCTGTAACTGAAGTTCGACATGAACATGTGCACTAACATTAGTGGTTTTTGTCTAACATTAGTGGTTTACTTTATCGATTGCAGAATATGGCACAGGCGGTAAGGTCTCCATTTTAGGAGATATGTACAGTTTTGGAATCCTAATATTGGAGATATTCACTGGAAGAAGACCCACACACTTTGTTCCAAGAGAGATCTAGCCTCTACCACTTTGTGAAAACAGCGTTACCGGAGAGAGTTATGGAGATTCTAGACAAAACAACTCTAAATGGTGACATAAAGGGGAAAACAACCAATGGAGAAGAATATTGGGCTAATTTGGAAAGACGTCAGATTGAATGCTTGGTTGATATACTTGAGATTGGAGTTGCATGTTCAGCTGAATCCCCAAGAGATAGATTGACAATGAGGCAAGTTTACAGTCAGTTGGCACAGATCAAAGACAAATTTCTGGTAACGGAAAACAGATGAAGAGGATTGAAGCCTTAGATAACAACTGAAACTTTGAATTTACTTTTCATGCAATGCTATTTCACTATGTTATGTTAGGAATTGAAAAATTCACCATAATGGAAATTGTAAAGACAAAAAGAAATCTGCAACAAAACTAGAGCATTAGAAACTTACTTGCTTCTTCTTTCTTAAGCAAGAGTAGCGAAGTTTAAGAAGTTATGTACGTATGAGATTGGGAAGCTTCCGCTTGTCTTCTTGATAGGGCGTATAAATCCAGCATTTTCAATCCATGGTTTGAATTCTATATTAAAGAACCAGAAGCTTTCTTCATTCTTCTTTTGAAGCAAAACTAGCAAAGTTTTGGACGTTTATGTCTTGGCTTTCTACGAAAGCAAGTATATCAATCTCGTCTTCACATCTAACTTTTCCATACTGGTCTATATGTTATTATTAGTTACAAATTCTAATTCAGGCCCTGTCTTCTTCTTTAACATACCATAACAGCAACTAATTCACATTTGCAACTTAAACTTGACATTACAGCATAAAAGGATTGGTGCATTTGCGCCTATAATAAAAAGAGAGACTAAATCGGGATATTCCAACCCCAGCACCCCCTTTCCACCACACAAGGGATATTCCATCTATACAAGATTAAATATTTTATCTTGATTGCACAAACCAAGTAGAGATAAGTATTTTTATACTGAATATAAAAAATAAATTATCTAGTTAATTAAATGTACTTATATTCTTAATCTGAATATAATTATTATGAACAAGGTATATAATTTCGTTTTGATTTATTAATGCGTGAGGTTCATTATCAATCAACATACTTAATAAATTCGATGGCGACAATATACATTATGTGAAATAATAATTTATTGATGGATTTAGAGACTAATGATAACCCTTTAGAAAACTTATAAGTTCTCATTCCATAAATCCTACAAGTGGATTTTATTTTTGATATATGAAACAAACAACACGTCTCTATATATGCTTATCCTTTGTATCCATCCATTCTCCATATGTGCAACCCAATTTAAGTTTTACATACAAGTGGGTAACTTTTACTCTACAACCTTTCCTCAACTATCTTTGACGTTTGTCCGTGAATTTTTTTTAACTTGCAAATAAAATAGTAGTAATTCAAGTTGATTCTTTGATATATAATTCCTCTTGCACTCACAAAATACTAGCACGTCCTTTTTTAAGAAAAACATCTACTTCACCAAAATAACAAAATTAACTATCTTTTTTCCAAATATTGTCCAAACATCTTAACCTCGTAACTGCTACAGTATGTAAAAGCATAACGGTTCTCCCATTCAGTCGACACTTAGTACAAATGATTTGAATTTGGTAATTACCAGAGTTTTAAGAGTTGCACAACGTTTAGGTCGTACCCCTGTCGATAGTTCAATAAGTAAAAGTCAATGAGGTGCTGGTTGGAGACCACTCTATGGCTGCCGCAACTAAACAAAAATAGATGTTCTGAAGCTAAAACACAGAACTGTTATTTTCAACTTGCACGTGCAGCATCAACAATCAAAAAAAAAATCTCATGATCTCCTCAATTCCAACTGCCTTTGCATTAGATGCAGATCTCCTCAAAATTGTTTTTTTTTCCTCTTAAATGCTTACAGATTGTTTAATGCATATACTGCTCCCAAAGAAATGCACAAGAGCAAATTGCAGATGTATATGCGATTCCATAGGGAAGAAATTCAAACTAAAAAACGTACCTCAATAATGCACAAAAATGACACCCATCACCCCATATTTATCCATCTAAAAAAGAAAAGACGAGAATCGCCAAGATCTGAACCTATGCTGATGACAGACAACAACCACCAGATGGACCTGGTATGAATATATTATCTTTTCTTTTTCACGCCATTTCTCATCCCAGGACTGAGGCATCGACCTTTGAGTAAACATCCCCACTCAAAACACAAGTGCAACCTCTTCAAAATCAGCCTTCATGAAGTGCAATCCACCCTAGGTAGCTTGGTAGTCCAGGAACAGCCTCAATTTCTGTGAAAGGAGCTCACGAGTTCCATACAGCGGTTTACTACTGATTATCCAATCCTTCTCAAGCAGCCCTGCCTTGGCACCATGCGACATCTCATCGTAGAAAGCAGAGACAATACAGTAGATGGAAGTCCTCAGGATATCAGCCATCGAATAAGCTTTTGCATAAAAAGGGGCTCCTTTTCTTTTTCCTGCAACACCTGCAGCTGAATCTCTCCTTCCTGAGTTTAATGTAGCCCACTTAATACCAGCAGGATCCATTACAGAATTCGATGACGGTAAGTTGGTTTTCTTGCCCATTAGAGTTTCAACAACCAATAAACTGGACAACAAAGTTGAGAGAACAGCCGCATTGCTCCCAGAAAGTTGAGCAACACCAAACCTATCCTCCTTGTGTGAATGCACGGTCAGTGATGCCACAATGCGAGCACACCAGGCTAGTAGCTGCATGTATTAGTAATAACAGACCATTTCAGGATATGTTAAATGACAGCAAAACCGAAGAAATTTAATTCATAAAAGAACAAACGACCAGAGAGAAAAAAGCAGAACAATATCTAATACTAACATTCATTCATATGGAAATTAGTGATTTACCTGAAAGTCATCAAATGATTCATAAATCTTTGAATCAGCAAGCTGTTCATTTGGCGAACGCAACTGACGAGACAGTTGCAAGGAGTTATCAACTGGAGAGCTCTCCAAAACTTCACTTATGTTTCTCGTGAACTGTTCAACTGGGGTCAAGCATACAGAAATTACTCTTTTGTATGTCTCACCACTTTCCTCAAAGAAGGCAGCTCGGCGCCAAGGGTCAACATTACTCTCGCATACCATGCAAAGATCAAGGTATGCAAGATACTGCAGAAGAGATTTTGGTGTGCTCTCCTCCAATGAGGCAAGAAGCGGTTCACTTGGATTTGTCTCAGCAGCTGCAGAACCTTTTGGAGGGGCAAAGACAGACCGCTTTGTATGCAACACCTAAATAGTCAAATCAACATCACTTTAGCTTTTTATGCTACTTGAGAAAATAACCAGCTTGAACATATACAGCTACTTGTGTGTCTCTGTGTGTGTGTGTGTGTGTGTGTGTGTGTGTGTGTGTGTGAGAGAGAGAGAGAGAGAGAGAGAGAGAGAGAGAGAGAGAGAGACTGACTTGGTGTAAATGATGAGATAATTCCCAGCAGAGAATCACCACAAAACTTCCGATGTAAAAGATAATCTGCTCAGTAATAAAGTTTCCTACAGGAAGTTGACCCTTAAACTCGTAAGGTAGAAAAACCGCAAGGAGAGCTGAAAAGACATAACCAACAGCTGAAAGCTTTAGAGCCTTTCCAACAGCTAAAGGTAGCCCCATCTTAAAGCTGAAAAAGGGAGGACGCTGTTGACATGGAACTGTTGTTAGTACCTTGGATTACAGAAAAGATACTACAAGTCACCACATCAAACTGCAATTTACATGATGGGACGTGCATATTTAATCAGACAATCTTGTTCATGCAGAGAGAAAGCAACCAAAGAGAAATCAAATTATTAGAATCATAGCAATGAGAGAATCACAAATGGAGTTGAAAACTCTCAGTTAAATGTTCCCGACTTCCAGTACGCATAGACGATTGGGTGCTTTCATGCAGAATCAGATTTTCGTATACAAGGTATTTCCCGTATACATCAATAAAAGTACCTTATCAAAAAAATCCGCAACTACCCCCACCCTTTCCACATACACACGCACATACACGCACACACAAAAGAAGTAAGCATCTCCTTGTCAAAAAAAATGGCGTTGTCATACTAGCTTAAGGCCTCAACGAATACTGAGTATGAAATAACATTATTTTTTTCCTATAAAGATTTAAATCTAGTGAAGAAAAACAATTAAATTACAATGAGTACCACACTAATGGAAGTCCTGGCATTAAGTGACAAATAATTCAGTTATATTCCATCACTTCCGCATGAAACAATAGAAAATAGCTCTATTTAACTTCTATACATGAAGCACGAGCAAGGTTTAGAAATAGTGTAAAAGGAAGTGCTTCGACTCATCGATATCTATCTTACTCATGTTCTAAAAAGGTCGAGGTATACTATCACCTTAGAGTTATAAGAGTGTGCTTCTCCAGTGGATCATGCGCCTATTCACAGTCTATACACGAAGAATAACACAGCAAAGACCAAAATAATATGCCAATATAAATCATTTGTGATTTGAACTACTGTTATTACTTATGCTACCAGAATAATAACTTCCTCAGTATAGTATAAAGATAAATAAGCGAGTGTGCAAGACATTCTAATAAAGAGTAAGACGCATTTACATGAAACATCAGTACATATTCAATCAGGCAAACAGCAAATTTAACACCTATGATTCAGCTCTTCACTTTCAGTTAGCAACAGAGAACTATGGATATCACTCAGTTAAAAGCCAATTCAACAAAAGCATATCCAATATCACAATTTATTCATGTGCAATCAATATATTAAAACTGATGTAGAGCAACAATTTCTATACCTGGATAATCGGGAACTGCAAAACCCAGCGTTTCTTATACACATAGTGGACCGCGTAGAACATTCCAAGCTGCAAACCCCAAAACCCTAACTTTCCAATAACCAGCCGCCTAGTCTTCACTTGATCGAAAGCACCACAGCTCCAGCACAAACTAATCATAGACAAAGAAGCCGATACGGCAGACACCGCCACGAATAGCACGTAGCTAAGGGAAACCCTGGCGCGGAGCCGGAAATCGGAGGAGAGTAGCGGCTGGGAACTAGAAATGGGAACCAATATCAGCTTAACTGAGCCGAGCAGAAGCTCCAAAGGAGAAGCAGCGCGATGAGGCCGAGGAGAGGAGATAATGAAAAGGGAAGTGGAAAAGAAGAGAAGAGAGAAGTGGAAAACTATGAAAGCGAAGAGACTGAGGAATGAGGGTTTGAAAGGGGTTGGAGTGAAGAGAGAAAGGAGTAGAGTTTTGGAAAGGAAGAAGACGGCGGTGGATTGAAGTGCTTGCCAGATTAGGAACCCTAGGAACCGGTGTTTGACGATGGTGGCGCCGCCGTCTTTGTCATTGAAGAGTGATCGCTCCACTATGGATAAAGACATTTTTCGCCGTCGGAAAGACGGCGGAGTGGAATGGGATTTAGGGGTTTATAGGGGTGGTGGATGGTGGAGCCACTGCCTAGTGTTCAGTGGTGGCGAATGAGTTCTTACTTCTTACAGCACTTGGGCGGGAAATTAAACGACGCCGTCCCTATCTAAATTAACTTTGATTCTTCAGCAATATTTTCTTTGTTACGAAGAAAAATTCAAGACTTTTGGGTTCCTACCTTTAAGTAGTCTTTGTAGATTGTAGTGGAAAACGATTTTGTTTTATTTATTCTTTTTTTCTCTATTGAGTCTTTGGATATGATTATAAGAAAATTATTTAAATTTTTATTTGTGAGCATTTAGACGTGAGGTTGTTTTATAGGCTGTTTGGCCAAGTTTTATTTTTTGCCAAAAGCACTTTTTGCCAAAAATTGAGGTGTTTGGCCAAGTTTTTAGATGGAAAAAATCTATCTATATAGAATAGGAGAAGCAAAACCACTACATTAAGACAAGTGTCTTAACCACAAAAAGCCAAGTGGCATTGTTAAGACAAAATAAACTACTTTTCTAACTAACTTTTTATTGAATTTTAAATTTTGAATTAATTGGTTACACTACTTGAATTAATAAATATAGATATTATAATTATCAATACTCAATAAAAAATAAAAATACAAAAAAATATTCTACTCATTCAAATAGGAGTTTTAAAATTATTTTAAAATAAAAAACAAAAATAACAAAAAATAAATAATAGGAATTTCAATAAAACATATTGTACAGATAAGGCTGTCTAACTGAAATCATAATAGATATTGAATAAAAATAACATTAATGTAAATTTATATGTAGATAATATCGATAGTTAAAGCTAAAATTTAATATATCATATTGAAAACAAAATAAAAGTAGTTCAAAATTATTATTTGAATAATAGGTAAAAGCACTAAATAAAATATTAATTAAAAATATTATAGTAGAAAAATGCATAACAGAGGATGATAGAGATTGTTTTATTTATAATTTTGATTAATTTGTAAAATAAATATAGTAAATAATTAAATAATGCTAAAAATTATGGNGGGATATTAAGGGAGTTTTTTCCAATTTAAGTGACAATCGAAACGGGATTATTATTTAAGATCAGAGTCGCCACTTGGGATAGTTAATGGTGTCCCAAGTCACCGATTTAGAATCCCGAATCGAGGAAATTTGACTCTATTTAATGTCCGCGAAACACAGAAATCCGGGTAAGGAATTCTGTTAACCCGGGAGAAGGTGTTAGGCACTCTCGAGTTCCGTGATTCTAGCACGGTCACTTTGATCATACCTGGCTTAATCAAATTGTTTAATTACTGATTTTAGAACCTATGTGCATTTGCCTTTTTTAATTAAGATATTATCTTGAAACGGGTCACGCGTACGTGTACCTGTTTGTTTGGCGCGTCAAAAATCTTGTCACGCGAACGTGTCCACAATTAATAAGGCTGTATAGCTATTAAGAAAGTTCGGCCGAAGTTGCGCGAACGCATACTCCGATTTTGTTTTTAGAAATCGTAATCATGTCACGCGAACGTGTCCACAACCACGATAGTATATTAAATGTTCCTAAAGCAAACTACGAACAATTGTCATTTTTATATCTAGGTTATGAAATTAATACGAGGGCCATATATGATTAAATTGTGGATGGCACACCTCGGACTATATGAACTAAATTAAATTAGTGGTACATTAACAACAATTTTATTATTAAGGAAAGTTGATCGAAATTGCGCGAACGCATACTCTGAATTGTTTTTTTTTTTAGAATTGCAATTATGTTACGCGAACGTATACACAATCACGATGGTATTGTAAACGCACCTTAAGGCCTTTCTACGAATATTCATTCTAATATCTAATCAAAGTATTTGTGAGGGCCATAGGTTATGAATTTTCTTGCGAATCGGCTAAGAAACAAATATCAGAAGCAATCATAACCAAACCCAACCCTTCACTTTCAAACCCAATTTGGCAATACATGCTCCATGACAAAATTATAGTAAAAAAATGCATAACAGAGGATGATAGAGATTGTTTGAGTATATTTATGATTTTGATTAATTTGTAAAATAAATATAGTAAATAATTAAATAATGCTAAAAACTATGGTTAACAAATTTAGACAATGAACTAAGCATTTATATTGGTTTGTCTTTTAAAAGTACTATATTAATTATTATAACATATAAATTATTTTATAATAAGCAAAATCTTAAAATTGACCGCGCATCGTGCGGGTACCTACACTAGTGTTTTTGAATAGAAGAAGAAGCAGTTTTTGAGAAGCAAAAAAAGTAGTTTCTTTTAGAAAAATACACTTAGAAACAGTTTTCAAAAGCTTGGTCAAACACTAATTACTGCTCAAAAGTACTTTTAAAATTAATTAGTCAAACACTTCTCACCAAAAACATTTTTTTTTAAAGTACTTTTTAAAAAAAACTTCTCAAAATAAACTAAATTTTAGAACTTGGCCAAAAAGGCTATTAGAAGTGAAGCAAAAAGTTCATTCTGACAATTGAATTTGACCACTATTTCGTGAAGTGTTTTCTCTTTGCAAGTTTGGGAATCAAATCACTGTTCTAAAATGTGTTTATTTTCCATTTCTAAAATTGTGTTCATTCTAGAAAATAGTGGAGTTGTTCTCTGGAGAAAATTTAAATTCACACTTGTAATCTTCTTTATCCCCTATTAGCAGATTGATAACTAACTACAGTTTCGCTGCTCTTATTAAAAAAAATGCCCCGTATTAACTTTTTAATCATGAAAAATCATTTACTTCCAAAATAAAATCCCATGTAGTCATCTAATATTTTCTTCGAAGTTCTTCATAGATTGAGAGACAAATTTATTTATTTATTTGCAATAGAACAGCTAAAGATAAATAAAAATAGATATAATTTTGACCCATACAGTTAGTCCCTCCGCTTATTGAGGTCGTCCTCATGAAGTCCTTGATGAGCGGATTTTATCTGTATCTAATCACAAAATGTTCCGCCACGGCAAATGAGCTGAATTGGTCGAGGTCGCGTTGATGACGGGTCGGCTCAAATGTCGTGGTTGGCGTGGTTAACATAGGATGATGTCATGACCACGCGCGTCATCATTGCTCATCTTCCCGATGCAATGCATCGTTTCCAACGCCTTTGTTACTTCGATCTCAGTGTTAGTGACAGTTTCTTGCATCGATCTGGGCGTCATAATACCTTATAAATAGGGGAAGGGAGATTAAAAAATGAGACTTTTCGAACTTCATACTCATTTGGCACTTTGCTTGTTCTTCTGCTTCTTCTCTAACCCTTGCTTCTGATTCGCTTCTGCTTTTCAGCTCTAGCTTTCCCGTTGATACACTTCTTCTGGTTCTACTGTATACACGTTTCTTGCATAAATGACAAACTCACCTCACACTTCTGATATAGTTTCAGATGCCACCCCTTTATCGGTAGTTATGCCTTCCGGTAGCGGCGAACCCACGGTTGCGGAAGACGAAAGTTTTCCTACCGTGGAGGAGATAATTCCTCGGAACCCGTCGGTCATAAATGACTTTCAGAAGGAACCTACCCCTGCTCCTGAGCAGGTACTATCAGTCATGGGGTCGAAGCACATATCTGACCTACGGTCTAAATTTCGTATTCCAACTCACGTCGACATCATTCCGACGGGGAACGACTGAATACAAGTTCACCGACCTGGGTATTGCGCTTCCTACCAATACCCATTTTTGGTGGGTTACTCTCTTCCCCCACTCGCTGAGGAGTTCTGTCGCTTTTATGGCGTCTTCCCGGCACAGCTTTCCCCTTACTATATAAAGCCTTTTTAATGTTGGCGAAGTTCGCAGAGTTGGCCGGTTGCGAAGTCTCCATTCGTCATCTGTTGCACCTCTTCACGCCTAGATTCTACAGAGGCACGCTGATTCATCTCCGCCACTGTGGGACTAAAGCATTGGTGATGGGGATGGATGATAAGTTGAACCGCCGGTTCTGGTGTTACTACTTCTTCATCAGGACCAAGCACGTAGTGGCGGACCCAGCCGGGTTCCCTGAGCAGTGGAACTTCAATCGTAAGGGCCTTGTACCGTTCGTCATGTGTTTTGTTTATCCCTCCTCTTTTGTTTCTGACTTGCTCATGTCCTTCTACTTTCAGTTGGTAAACGCCCACCTCCTTTGGTTCCTCACATCGAAGACTGGGCGACTCACGTCTTACCTCATACTGTGGGGATTCGCAACTGGATGTCATTTAACAGGCAGTTCGGTCCCAAATCTTTGACTAGTGAGTCTGATTTCCCTTTATATGACCCTTTCGCTTTCGTTATAGCTTACCACTGTCTTGTCGGCATTTTTGTTAAACATGATTTTCTTTTTGTGCCAGGTCGGCGAGCTTCCAAGAAGACGAAGGCTCCGGTGCCCGCGTTCCGCCAGGCAATCGTATCGGATGGAATGCAATTTGTACTAGTTGAGTCTGTACGAGAGAATCAAACTCTAGCTCTGACGTTGGGTGATTCCGCCCCACAAGCAGCCGTCACGTCGGCTGATACCTCTGATCACCACGTTCTGTACCTAATTGACGAGTCGTCTCATGACGAGGGGGAGGCGGTACCTAGGAAAAGGCGGAGGGTGGAGACTGGAAGGGTTGATGTTGCTGATATCGAGTCGGAAAGGCCCATTGATTTGGACGCGGAGGCAGCGCCTTTACTGGGCATTGAGGTTGCTCCCACGCCGGCTATCGTCACGGAGGGAGGGCCGTCAGAGGTCGAAGGGACCTATGTCAGAGGGGAACCTGCACGAATAGCCGGGGTCGGCTCATCATCAGCGGACGGAAAGGATAAAACCGTCCTCATATAAGATGATGGGTCGGGCTCCGATATCGACCCCGAGGAGGTGCGGGCTTTTTAGGAGAGGTTCACCTGAGTGGAGATAAGGACGGAGGGGCCTAATCGACACATAGTCATTCCCATGGATTACGATCTCTTGGCCAACTCGGAACGGGTGGTGCCGGCCTTCGCTCCTCTCTGTGCAGATTCCGAGAATAGGACGTTGCAGACGCTGAGAGGAGCAGATCTGTCGTTGGGTATCTGGCATGGCCTTGTGAGTGAGTTTGCTTTTCCCATGTTAGGTTAATTCATTTTTTATTTGTAATTTGCTTCCACTGACCTTTCTTCTT